AGTAGACAAGACAGGACACGTACATGATAACATGGATAACATGACACAGTGTCGGCAGAGGTGTAGACAGGGTGTTTGGGGGCCCCCAGAAACCTTTGTTCACGGTGGAGACAAGGAAGCATGCATACAGATGGTGTCATTCGTACTGGGCTTTTTGGATAAACAAGAGTTCACCAAAATGACAAGGACTTGAAAAGTAAAAAACTATAAAATAACTTAGCATTCCCTCGATAGTAAAAGGTATACAGCAGAATGAACACAGGTGTGCAGTATCAAGGCAGGAGGTGAGGTATATTCAGATCAATAATCATACACATCAATGCACAAAAACATGGACTTAGCAACAAAAGTAAAATCAGAGAACAGTGAAATCAGAAAGACAATGACAGCAAGGTGAAATGTGAAATGGAAAACAAAGAGAAGCAAGGGAACAGGTGAAAAAATTTTACAAGAGTCTGCATCAAAGAAATGGCAATGAAAATAGAATAATTAAGACAAAAAGGGCTGGCAAAACTTTGTGACAGACTATGATAAAGAAGAGGCGAATCACAGGATGACTCCCAATTTCTAGCTTGCGCAGTTGAGTAGATGGCAGGGAGAGTGGGATTAAAAGGTTAATTTTTTTAGATCTCTTGAGTCTGACATGTCCATGGGGCCTCCAGATAGAGCTGTCCCACTCTCAGGCATATAAGTTTGGAGTTCGAGATTGATCTTGACCAGAAACAGGTATTTGGAAGTCATGAACGTTTTGGTAACAGTCAAAATTATGGCTGTGAAAGGAATTGTCCAGGGAAGTGTACAAAATGAAAAAAGGAGTGGGGGACCCCCACAAGTGATTTATTTAAAAACAAAGGATAAAAAGTTAGTAAGGGAAACTGAGAACCACCAGTTTTCCTGGCCCAGCCCAAGTCCTAATGAGTATCCTGCACGGACAGGAAAATGGGAACCCTCTGAGGAAACAAGATGGAGGATCAAATGGCCAAATGAGAGGTAAGGAACACAGGACTCCAGGGACAGAGCCCCTGGCCTTGTCACTCCCCTTAATTGTAAAGAAATTGAGGTTGTACACCAGGGAACTGTCAAGTTATACACTGTCTAGGAATGCACAGTGACAGATACAGCAGCTAAACCTGTCTTTATGTTATCCTTCAAGAAGTCAACCTCTGCTTGGGACATCTCACCTATACCTTTCAAGAAGATTAACATACCTCCTGTCCAGAACAACTCACTCTCACAACCTCAGAAACTGTTAAATCTGGCTGTGATCCTCTTGTTGGAAAACTTTTATTGAGCTAAATTAAGACTAGACTGCCAAGATGAATCCTCCACGCCCTCCAAGGGCCACCACACCAGGAGACTAGTAGACACATACCTTAAACTTAGGGACTGGGAGAGAAAAGTCTCTGTTTTTGGATCTGACATGGCAACGGGGATCTTGGAGGTCTTCGACTGGTATATACTTTGAGTCCTAGGAAGGAAAAGAATGACAGCTCAAGGTGAAACCACATTGTTGAGCTCTGAGAAGCCCATTTGGAGGCCCATATGCAAAAGAGCTGGGTTCTGGTTAGCCACTTTTTAAGAAGGCAGGCCATGGGTATGGAAGTTCTAGATGCTGAACAGAGCCAACAGGAGAACGGGGCCCGGAGTTTCCTAGATGGCAAGGAGAGGCCTGGGACACTCACGTTGACACTGAAGTGGACTCCATCGTAGCGGTACACCTTTTGAGAAGGCCTGCGCAAGGCAGGGTCCAGGGCAGGATCCACGATGAGCTTGTAGTTCCGCCACTGGAAGCTCGGGGCCTTCTGCCCATCTCCCCCACCTTCCTGATCCATCTTTGCTCATTTACACTGTTATGAGAAGGAAATACGCAAGGAGGTTCAGGTGTTAGGCCTGACTGACTCTCTTGCTGCCCCTCACCGACTAGCCCAGACTCTAGGTTCTCTCATCCCCCCAGTTTCCACACCTCACCAAGACCCGTGGCTCCCCCAGATTTTCACCCAAGTACACTCTTTCACCGTAACCACCCATTCTCTCTCCACCTCCCAACTCTCTGCTCAGACCACCAGGCCCATCTCGTGCGCCCGCTCTACCTACTGCGCGCCCCACTTGCCTCCGGAGCAAGACCCCTCCCCCGCCCCCTGGCAAGCCCCGCCCCCTCCCGCCTCCTCACCGGCCAGCGGCCCGGGCCAAGCCCGGCTCCCGCTCCCACACACCCGCTCGTGTCCCCAGCCCCGATCCTCCGGCCAAGAGGTAGCACCTATTCGGGGCGTTGGAAACACCGCGAGACCGAGCTCGAGACCCGGCTTCGGCCCCAAATCCGGGCGGGGGAGTAGGGGGAACGCGCGCCGCTGCCCTCTCCTCCCGCCCCGGCGCGTTCTGCCCCCCCCACCCCCGCGCACGCGCGGCGCGGCCCCACTCACCCGCTCTGGTCGAGCGGCTCCCCCTCCCCCCACCCCGCGCGGCACCTTAGTGGCGCGAGGCGGCGGCGGCGGCGGCAGCGCGAGACCCGGCCCCGCAGCGGTGGCGGCGGCGGCGCCCCCCCACCACCACCTCCCCGGCGCGCGCACCAAACACCACCGCCACCTGCGCGAGGCCCAGCAGGCACAGCGTCGACATTCGCACTTTCGCCACGGGCGCCACCGGGACACCAACGGGGCCGAGGATAGCGGTTTCGCCTCGGCCGGCGCCCTATATGGCTCGAGAGTTGCGGCCTAGAGAGCCTGGAGATTGGCCGCATCCCCCGGAGAGTGGGCTTCACCACGACTATCCAGCTGCTCTGGCCTGGGGTCGTTGACGAATCGACGGCGACGAAAGCAGCGACTAATCCCTGAGGAAAAGGGGGCGGGGCAGAGGGGAGGAGGCTAGCCAGAACTGGGGAGATTTGAGTGGCGCGCAGAACTGGCGCAGATTCGTCAGGCGGGCGGGGCGAACGGGTGGACGGGACGCGCGCTCCTTAGCTCCTCTTTCCTTCCCCTAGCGCGGCCGAACGCCCAAGAGGTTGCAGATTCGTCACAGGTCCTGGTCACAGCTGTTGCTTCCCTTTACCTGCCTTGGTGAAGACAAGAAAATAATGTCTGGTTAGCCTTGTTGGCAAAGTCGACCACTTCTCTGGATTTTATTAGTGTAACTCAAGGGACTGCTCAATTCTGACCCGAGAAAAATGGCTATGGCCTAAAGCTCCTCTCGGAGTCCGATGAGAATTTTCGGCCGAGTACTGGGGCCTGGGTAATTCTAAGGACCCAGCAGAGCGAATCTGCGAATTCTTTTGTGGGCGGAGCCAAGGTGCCGTTCGCAGAGGGCGTGGTCAGAGCGTGCGGAGCCCGACGTCGCGGGGGCGCTTCCTGTAGGACCCACCGAAACCGGGGCGGGCTGGGAGGGGCTCCTATGAGATGGAAAAATACAACGAACAATGGTGACTCAGGCCGTTTGCCTGGCGCCTCACGTAACGCAGGGAGCGTTTAACTTTGGGCCTTTAGCTGCTTAAGATGCCCACTTGACAGATAAGGAGACTGAGGCACGCAGAGGGTTCGCATTTTGCCTGTACTTGGCCACCATTAGTGATTAAATCCGAAGGCTATCTTAAAGTTTTGCGAAAAACCTGGCTTAAAGACCCTTGATTGGGTCTCGTAAAAAAAAATAAACTAGGTTTTACAGGAACTAAGGTGGGATGGTGGATTCGCCAGGCTTCAAGGTGCCAGTGCCCGAGTATTTCACCAGAGGGGCGCGGCGGGAGGAGGTGAGGCCGGTTGCTATACTTACGCATCCCCGCTGGAGGGCAGCACCAGCCCAGGCCTACACCTGGGACCCTGGGACTAGGGTTGCCTGATGCTGGGCACCCTTTATCTCCGTCTTGGATGCAAGACATTCTGGTCTTTAGGTAATGACAGTCCAAGGAGGCCACTCTGCCTGAGCTGAGAATGTCCTAAGTTCCAGACATCTCTATCTGCATCTCTTGCTGTATGACCTTGGGCAAGTAATTGACCTCTCAAAGCTTGAGTCTTACTCTAAAATGGATATTAATTCCTATCATGCAAGATATTATTGTAGGCCTCAGAAAAGCATGGGGAAAGGCCCTCGAAGCCTGGTTCATTAAAATTCTGTATTTTAGATAACAGGAAGAGAGAAAAGGGGGACATTTCCAAAATCTCACATCATAAGAATAGAAGAGCTAGAACTGAGACCCTTTAAATGAGGATGAATAAAATGAATTTACACAGAAGCATGGGTGATGAGATCATATTCCCTTCTCTTTCAAGTCCCAGTTGAAAGGTATTGGCTCCTGCCCTGACTGGGTAGCTCCATTAGAGCATCCTCCCAATATACCAAGGTAGCAGGCTTGATCCTAGGGAACATACAAGAATCAACCAATGAATGCATAAATAAGTGGAACAACAAATCAATGGTTCTCTCTCCTTCCTCTCTCTCTAAAAATAAATTAAAAATTTCAAAAAGCACAAGAATACCAAGAAAACAAATAATCCAAGAGGTACTTTTTCTTAAATGATATTGGCTCATTTTCTCAAGTCAAACAGGATTCCCCACGTGATCGTAGAAGTAGTCCAAGTTTTCACTGACTAGATGTGTGGCTCTATGCAAGATCCTCAGCGTTCTTCGGCCTCAGGTCCCCTACCTCTGAAATGGAAATGAAAAAGACCTGTCTCCTAAGGTGGTCTGAGGGTTAAATGAAAAGCCCATATTATGTAGTAGTCACTCAAAAACACAGCATAAAAGAAACTTATGCTAAACCATCAATGGAAGAGATAGAGACCCTGGGCTCAAAACAAGAGTGCAAGTCTTCTGCCTTGAATAAGTCTCTGCATTCAGAAACTACTGGCTCTAGTCAGCACCAGAAGGGGGGCGGGGTGGAGGGTCACACCTGGAACTACTCTTCCACCCCCTTGCTCAGCACCCAGGTACATTTGTCTCTACTGGTCCCTTAGAACAAGTCACCTGATCCCAAGGAGGCCCTCCCCTTCACCCCATTTACAGCCACAGGGACATCTGTGAAACACAATTTATTATACAAAACAAGGTGCATCATAAATTCAGTGGCAGAACAGCTCTGTATTCCAAGGGTTAGGGACTACACCTTTTCCCTTAAAACCTTGTCACCCCAACCCTTGCTAGGTAGTCAAGCTGGGCACACAGGCCCTCAGTCTCCAAAGACCCCCAAACCCTGGCACAGAAGAATAAGAATCTTATATAGAAGTAATAAGTGTGGGTCTAGGGAAATTGGACTGGCACTTGAACCTCCAAAAATAGGGAGGCTCCTTCTAGGAAAGGCTGGACCTATGCCTGGGGCAGAAGCACCCAAATCTCTATAGCAACTAAAGCAAGAGAGTGAAACCCATTGAAATCTGGGGATGGGGAAGAGCTTTCCAAGAAATACCAACCATAAAATAGATTCTACAAGCCCTGGCTGGGTGGCTCAGTTGGTTGGAGTGTTATCCGTACACCAAAGGGTTGTGGGTCAGGGTTCAATCCCCAGTCAGGGCACATACCTAGGTTGTGGGTTCTATCCCTATTCATGATGTGTACAGGAGAGAGGCAGCTGATTGATGTTTCTCTCTCACATCGTATCTTTCTCTAAAATCAATGTTAAAAATTCTACAAAAATAAAGTAAGTGTTGGCTTCCTTCTGGAGCAATTGGGTGGGTGCATAACCTAACCTCCACATCCTGTTTAGGGGAAAGTGGCTAAGGAGCAGCACCAAAGGTCTGGCCAGGGTCTCCCTGCCTCCCTTCCACCTACTGTATGAACCTTGGACTGAGGATCTTCCACTCCTCCCAGCCCAGGCATAGAGCAGAATTTATAAAACCCATAGGAAAGGCTGACAGGGAAAATCCCTGGGAATATGGGAGCTGCCCTAAGGCCCAGCCCAAAGGACCCTGAGGCCAGGAATCTGGTCTCTACCTAAGTACCTCTGGCAGGGTCAGGGAGCAGTATTCAGAGACCTGGGGTCTCTGGCTGACCCCTGATGAAGGCAGTGTTTTTGAGGATGGCTAACACCAACCTCACACAGCCTGTAGCTCCCCCTGCAGGCGACTTAGCTCCTCTAGCTCCTGCTTGTGGCGGTCTGTCTTGTGTGCCACCAAGGAACGGTAGAAATGCAGGGCAAAGGCCACAAACACAAGCCCTACAGGTACCATGATTGCTGTGGAGGCCATGGCCGCTTGCCAGCCTGGTCCATGGATACCACCACCACCACCACCACCACCACATGCTTGCTGGGGTGGGCAGGCCTCAGATGGCTCAGTCTCGGGCGGGGCTACAGAAGCAGAGGGTGGCTTAGAAGCTGGACTAAGTGAGGTGGCCACTGGTGGCAGAGTCCCAGGTACCTGGGAGGCAGGTACCACAGGGGCTGCTGTGCCCAAGGGGGCCCCTATGGGTACAAACTTGACCCAGCCAACCAGAACAACTTCAGCGAGGAAGAGGAACGTGCCCAAGGCCGTTGAGAAGCCCCAGGCCAGCTCCACATAGCGGTGGAGTCGTTGGTGTGGAGACTGGTGGACAGAGTTGAGGTTGTGGATGTTGCTAACAGCTTCAATGTGGGGTAGCAGACACGTGGAGACCATGAGTGCAAAGAGGTGTACAGCTACTAGTACGGTGGTGCAGGCACTAAAGGCCACCAGCAGGCCTGGTGGGTATTCATGGTTGCTCTCCAGTTGTACCTCCACCATGGCCACCTGTGGGGACAAGAGGGGATGGATTGAGTGCCATAACCTCCTGAATAGCAGCAAAGGGTTTGCCTGTTGGCATACATCAGTGATGTGTCCTTAGGACCTATTGTTTGCCTGGCAGAAAAAAGACTCTCAGTCTTTGTTGAGTGCATGAACGGGCAGCCTTGGGAAGGCTCTTGCCTGTTCTGGTCCTTAGTTTTCCCACCTAGCTATCCAAATGGCTGAATGACATGTTTCTGACAATCTTACCTTGTTATAAGGGTTAAAAAGCACAGATCCTGGAGCTGGTCTGCCTGGGATCATTCTCAGGTCTATAAGCTGTATGGTCTTGAGCAAGTGACTTAGTCTTTATGTGCTTCAATTTCCTCATCTGGAAAATGGGGATTGATAATAGCATCTACTTGTCTTATAAAGTTATTGTGAAAACTGAATGCGATAATATACGTGAAGTGATCAGAATAATGCAAGACATATAGTAAGTACAAGTGTTTGCTGTTATTATTAGAGTTAACACTAAATTCCAAGGCCAGAGTTTGCAAATTGGCACACTATGAACCAAGGCCAGCTTACAAACATGTTTCACTTGGCTCAAACAGTGTATTTCTTAAAGAATGAAGTTACAGACTTTTAAAATTCAAGAGATTTCATATAAATATCCCAATTTCCAGATGCTGTTGAAAATTTGGAAGATCTGGTTATTCCAGGCCCACATTCTTGCATGGCAACTATCAGATAGAGTTGAGTCATGGCTTCTGCCTTTGAACAGCTCATGGGATCTCTTTATAGTCAGTCCCCACAAAACCAACTTGGCTTCCATGTTACCTGTTCGCCTTTGCGAACATTTAAGTTGATGATCCTGTTCTAGATTTGTATAAATTTGAACTCTAGAACCAGACTGCCTTGCCACTTACTTGTTGTGGGACCCTAGGAAGGTGTCTCAGCATCTCTGATCCTCAATTTTCTCATCTGTAAAATGGCCATAGCAGTGGTACCTACTTTATAGGGTAATAGGTGATGCACATACAAGCCCTAAGCAGAATGACAATTCAATACAATCTGTATGTTATTCTAACCTAGGCCACCAGGACTCAAAAATCTCTCTCTCCCCAATAGTTCTTGCAGGACCCATTAGATTGCTCTGGGGTTGAGGGAGGGAAGAAGGTGCAGAGTTTGGAAAGAGGTGGTGGAAAAACAAAGATGAATATTTTGGGAAACTGGACTATGAAGGGTGTTAGCATGCATTTTCCACAGACAGGTATCTGGGCTAGGCCTACTCCTAGTTTCTGCCATAGGATGACCCAGCCTTGCTCTCCCCTGGCAAGGCTGGAGCCAGTCCTGCTCCCAGAACCTACTCATGTGGCCTTTTGATCCTGCAGAGAAGATCCTGGCCCTTAAGTTCTCACCCCAGGAACATACAAGCCCAGCAGCAGGCCAGATTAGACCATGGGGTGGGCAGGGGTGAGGAACCTCCCTCAGATAGGTCCATGGGACTGCCTCCTTCCCTCTGTAGTCTGTACAGTTAAAGGAGAGCCAACTCCCCATCCCTACATGACTGCAGTCAGGAAGGGTGGGCTGGCCTGTGATCTCCAACCCTCGCATAAAACACCAGAGACCTAGGATGACCCTTAGGGATACCTTCCCTCTCAGCATCTCAAATAAAGAGGCTGTGACACTGAAAGAGGCAGGGACTAATCCAAAACACCTAGTGCTCTGACCCTTTTATACCCATCTCAATGTGCCCTCAACAAAAACAGGTCCTATAGAGATTTGCACCCCACCCCTTCTGCCAGACATGTTTCCCTTCTTCCTGTCATGATGGTGGGGAAACCCTGGACTAACAGGTCAATGACTCTGTGCCTGAGTTTCTTCTATATCCTCCATCTGATGAATGCTCTTGGCAGAGCTGCTGCCCCATTCTGGGCCCTGGTTTCCACGACTGTCCATACAGGTAGTCTGAGGCATCTTTGATGTGTGTCTTGCTCTAACATGCTTGGATCTAGGTTTTGATGACAAGAATCAGCTCATCTTTTGGCAAATACTTGGCAGGCTACACAGGGCGCACCCTCCATGACCTCACAATTTCCCACTGACCTGCAAGTGGTAGGTGCCTGTCCAGTCACACAACTGGCCACAAGCAGGAAAGAGCCAGGACTTGTGTCTGCTGACTCCTTACCCTGGGACCTCCCTCGGTCCCATTTCCTATGAGGTTTCGCTGGCACCGTTAGTTGATATCATCTTTCCACACCCCCAGTTTATCAGCTCAGACATCATGAATCAGCTTCCTAGTCAGCTTCTTTCACCCCCCGAGGCTTCCTCACAAGCATCCTGTCTTCTCAAAGCTTCCTGGGCTAAACTAAGTACCCTTTGTCCTGCTGGATGCTAGCCACCTCCTTGGGATGGGCTGACCTCCAGTTGGGTAAGGGCCCCATCCAGTTTATTTTCTTTGATCCCACCCCCCACCCCCCAGATCTGATTTGCCCTTGTCTAATCATCACTCCTGCCTGGAGTTGCTTTTGGACCTCTTTGCCCCACCTTTGCGTATGTATTCCCCTTGGTGATTTGCCTAACCCCTTAACATCTTTTGTGTCCCTTTTTTTAGCACTTATCCTTCCTGTGGCCCACTTTATACCAGGGGTCTGTTTACATACACAGACACACCCATTAAAGAGATTTGTGTTGTCTCTTGGGACCTTGTTTGTTCCCCTCTTTCACCTTTTAAAACCCAGCCTTTCCCTTTTCTTTCGCCCTGCCTCCCTTGGGTTTACTTTACCCACTACCCCGTACCTCCCCCCATCCTGTGCACCCCCACCCTCCCCTCACCATGGCGAAGCCCGAGAGCAGGGCAGACGTGCGGCTGGAGGCTTTGAGCTTGGCCCGGCTGAGGTAGAGGCGGCGCCAACTGAGCGCCCGCAGCGAGTGCTCACTGGCCCCCATGAGGTCCAAGTAGCCGCGGTGCACGAATTCTCGGTATGTGGCTGAGCCCGCGGGGCACTCGGCCTCCGGGTTCAGTGGGGCCTGTTCGCCTGCATCCCCCTCGCCGCCCTTCATCCTGGGGGGTGGGCCGCAGCACCAGGTGGACTGGGCAGTCAGGGTAGGACCAAGTAGCCGTGGGGAGTCCAGGAAGACCAGCTCAGTCCAGAGGGAGACCCCATCCCCCTGCGGGGTGAGCAGAGATGTAGGCGGCAGGCGCCCAGGAAGAGGCAGTCCAAACCGAGAAGGAAGAGCTGGAGTCTGCGGGGAACCCTAGGGGCCGAAGCGGGACAGCAGAGGCTGAAACAGGAACTGGGACAGAGGCGGAGCTGAGGCGGCCACATGATGGGGTGGAGCCCGAGGGCGTCTGGTAAAGTTCTCAAGGGACCCAGCGACAGTAGTCCACCTAAAATGTCACGCAGGTGCCCTAGCTCCGCTGAGGTTAGTAACCAGCTGCAGCCTGTGGCTGGCAGTAACCGGGCCCTTGGCCATTCCAAATATATCTGGACACTCCCAGATCTCCAGACCTCTAAACCCCTACCTAAACTGTAAACTAGGTAAAGGTGAGCCCATCAGCCTGTAGGGGTTACAGGGGTCCCGCAAACTCAGTTCCAGGAAGCAGAAAAGGCCCAAGATTCCCAAATCCATCCAAACAGCCCCGCCTCCCGACAGCCCCAAAGAACAGGCACTCAAGGCCCGCCTGGGCCCCTCTTCTCCCGACACCGCAGACAGACACATGAACTCTGTGGCCCCAGCTGGAAGATTTTGAGTTTTATAGCAAACCATATTGTACAGACCCGGGGCCCAGCCCGGCTGGGTCCCCAACTTGTCCCCCCGCCAGGCTGCCCCCTCCTCCCCCCTCCCCTCAAGCGGCCCCAACCTCAAGCCTTTCATAACCCCCACGACCCCCTCCCATCGACCTTTGGTCCGCCCATTCCCTCCCCCCACCCGTGCACCGCCCCGATACCTGAGGTATGTGGATAAATCCCCCCCTCCCCTACTTGGTACAACCCAGCTCCCCAGGAGGCCTGGGCTTGAGGGGCGTGCACTGGCTCCCCTAACCCCGCCCCACCACTGGAGGAAGGGGCAAGGGCAGGCCAAGAGTGTTACTAAGTTCCCATGGCAACCAAGAGGGGCTATTACCAGCCTTAGCCCTGGCTTTGGGACACGTCCATTGGCTATTTCCATGGCAACCAGGAGTGGCAGTTCCCTGGACAAATGGGATACAAGCTTCCATGACGACGACGAGTGGGAAGAGCCAAACTGGAGGAGTTCCATCTTCCCCATCGTTGAGCTGGCACCCCACCCCACTTCAGGTCAGCAGGGGTGGAGCTGCTCAATACAGTAAAGCAAGAGAGAGCCTACTGGTGGCGCAGTCCAAACTGGGTGCCCACCGGTCCAGTCTCAGTCCAAGCAGTCACGGGCCCCTCACACTCCGGCTCCCCTAGGTTCGAGGTTCCCCAGGTTCAAGTAACACTTAAGTACAGATGAATGTTCAAGTATTGAGTGGGAAGGCAGGTAGGGGGCTGGGGTACCCCTCACCACTCCCCTGGGCCACGTTGAACAGCAGGTAGGCCAGCTGGCCCCCACTCCTCGCAATAGCTGCCATTGTCAGTGGACTTTCAAAGAGTCAGGGTTGGGGGAAGAACTGAAACTGGGGAGGGAGTAAGGGGAGGAGTGACCCCCTGAGGGAGTACTTACTGCCCCCACACCTGCTCTTGCCCCAACCCCTGGACTCCTCTTAGCCCTGGCTTTCCCTGGTTGCCCCAGTCCCCCCTCCCCCAACACCTAATTGCTCCTCTGGTTTCCCTTTTTGCCCCTCCCCCCACGTCCAAGTATCTGGTCTGTTCCCTGCACCCTTGGTGATCTGCTTTCTGTGTCCCCTCACCCCAGCCCATCCTCCACCTCCCCCAGCCCCTGGCTCCCAGTATCTTGTGTGTAGATACATTTCCCCCATTCTCCCTCCCTCAAACTTGCACCTTACCCCCCCTCCCACCATCCCTTTGGCTCAGCAACCCCCAGTACCTCTGATTCACTCCCCCCAGGGGATGGACAATGAAGCAGGTGGAAAGGGGAGGAGATAGGAGGGAGAGACCCCCAGAAATATCAGTGCAGGGGGTAAAGAGTAGGGAGGCTGGCTCAAGTCCCTGGGCAGGAATCCTATGTCAGAAAGCTCAGGAATCCCAAGTTATGAGGTGGGTAACCTGGCCTCCTGGCAGGAGTGAAATAAAGGCCCGGGGTCCAGGCTCCTGATGAGTCCTGGGGGAGAGTGGGGGGCACCCAACTAGCTGTCCTTGAGAAGCAGCTTTTCTTCTGGGCAGCGGAAGGGGCCAGGGGGCCCAGCAGCTGCCAGCCGGGCACAAGCTTCTGGTGAGAGCTGGCGGCAGGAACGCAGGTCTAGACGGCGTAGACGAGGGCAGCGGCGGAACAGCGGAAGGCAATGGTCAGTGAGGCGGTGGCAACCTGGGGATGGGGCAATGGTAGCCAACACCAGGATAGTGAGTAGGGGTAGGTACTGGTCATGGGGACCAACAGCCTAGCAAGATAGACAGACGGGACCATGCTTACCAGCAAGATTGAGGTGTACCAGGGTCTCTCGGAGTGGGGAGGTGGGGGCTGTGAGGAGATGGACGCTGGGGTCCCCGACATGGGCGCAGTGGCTCAGGTCCAGGGCACTCAGCTGGGGTGCATGGCGCAGCAGGAGCCGCAGGGACGCATCTGTCAGCTCCAGGCCTGCCAAGCGAAGCTCTGCTACCCCCTGCAGCCGCCCACGGCTCTCCGTTTGCCCTGGATAGGCAGGTAAGAGGTCAGTACTTCCCTGCTTCCATACCTACAACTAGGCAACCAGACCAGCTATGTTTCCACTCATATTCCTCACTACCCCCTAAATCTGCTCCCACTGTATGTGAGCCTCACTGGCACTCTGCATGGCTTGCTCTTCTCCCAAACACCCACATGTCTGACCTCATCTCATCTGTTCATTGCTCACACTGCCTCCTCAGTGATGTCTGTCAAAATTACTCTATTTGAAACTATAATATTCCACAAAGTCCTACCCCTTCCCTGTATTATTTTTGTCTGTCTTGTTCTTGCTTTATCCCCAAAATTGACAAACGGATACTCAATCTATAGTCATTCATGCAACAAACAATATCCCTAATAGGACTATCATTCCAGGCTGCTCTTCCACTTCCCTCTGCTTCTGTGATTAGTAAAGTCACTAACTGGATTCCTTTCTCTCCTTTCCCCATTTCACCACTCTGAATCAACACCACTCTTACCTCAATTTCTGCCCCAGCCTCTTTCCTCACTCTAGTCTCTCCTATTCTTCCTGGAATCCAAAGAGAGCCGTTCTCAAACACTAGGTAGGACAATATTATCACTTCTCTGCTAAAAACTCTGACAGCACCTCAAAGAAGTCCAATCTCCTTGGTGAACATTCCAGTTCCTATAAGGTCTTAGCCCTTTCTCAGCTCTCAACTCCTCTCCCTCACCCCCAAATGCTTGGGACCAAACCCACAGCTGACCCTGCCCTGAGACACTCTCCCTATGGCCACCTGTGCTCAGTATTCTGCCTGACCAGTGTCTCTGGCTTTCAGGTCTGAGCTCAGAGTCCTCCTCTTCATCTGTCTCTGGGGTTAGAAGAGCTTACACTGCTCGTCTCTGCACCAAAAGCACAGGGTCTGCTTCCCTTTTATTGTATTTACCACATTCCTGGCACTACAGTGTTTGGTACACCTATGGTGCACCAGTAGTCACTGAGCAGTCACTGAGGGCCAAACATGGGCTAAGTGGTTGTCTGCTCCTAGGCCAGTGGCTCTCAAACTATTTAACTATCCCTGGTAGGATGGTTAAAATGGATTGCTGACCCTGCCCCCAGAGTTTAGGTACTCTAAGTTAGAGCCTCAGCGTTTATTTTTCTAGCAAGTTCTCCATTGATGTTGAAGCTGCTGGTCTGAAGACCAAGCTTTAAGAACCACAGCCTCAGGAGACAAGTCCTTTAATTATCATTCCTGTTACAGATGAGAAAATGGAGGCTCAAACTCTTGAGCAATCTGTCCAAGGTCACGTGACTATGAAGTAACAAAGCCAGCACAGCAGGCCTGGTGACTACAAGTCCAAACTCTTATCACAACACTATTTACCCCCAGGCACCAGCCTAGCCTTTAGCTAAACTACATCAGACACATAGTGTGTTATGGAGTCTGAATAATGCTAAAAATTTCCTATGTGATTAAGCCTATAAAAAAGGACATTTTTATAAAGAAATTTAGATATTGAGCTTCTCCTTGAGAATCGTAACATCTGGCATCACTGGGCTGCTAGGGATTCCTTCTTAATGTCCTATACCAAGCCCACAGCTTGTTGTATGTCCCGCCCCTCTGTGGGTACTTGACTTTGCAAGCTCTGACTTCTACTCCCTTTATTTTTTTCATTTGAAAAGCTGAAAGCCTGGAGAGGGAATATATCTACAGATGCCCTCAACCTTGGGCCATAGCCAAAGCCATTAGAGGGAAGCAGAGGAAAGAGGACACTCTGGCTCGGGTGGGGAAAAGGGGGCATCAGCGAGGGTTTTGCTGAGGGGTAGCATTTAAGCAGGGCCTTCAAGGACTGACCCTGTAGAGAGACGGGAGAAGACTACACAAGGCAGAAAATAGCAGGGGCGAAAGCAAGAAGCAGAATTTTAAGTTTTGCTCTAGGAACGCTGTTAGAACCAGGGAGCCAAGATCAGAAAGGTAAGCATAGAGTTCCAACAGGCACAATAGGTCTCAAGGGCCCAGAAAACTCATCTTTGCAAACTCCTGATAAAGGGGCTTAAACTGAAGTGAATTCAGGAAGGAGAAGGCGTCAGTCTGCCAGCTAACCAGCACTTTCTCACCTCATGGACTGTACTCTTCCCAATACCCACCCTTACTCATGCCCAAATCTTCCTGGCTCAGTCCATTCCCAGTAGAGGGGGCAATGGGCAAGCTCTGGTTTGGCTTGGCCTATGTGACTTGCAGCAGTCAGTTAACCCCTCTGGCCCTCTGGTGCCTTGTCCAGAAAATGCAAAGAATCCTAGCTGCTTTTCTACTCCTCTTTCAAGGCTGCTGTGGAAGGGGGAGGGGAGGGGAGGGTGGGAAAAAAGGAGCCTTGAGAGAGCTGTGAAAGCAAGGTGCTGGGGCAAGTAGATAGTCCTTGCCCTCACAGAGCTTAAGAACCTAGTGAGAGGAAACATGTTAATCAAACCATTTCCTAACAGTACACTGATCTGCTAGGAGGGGACTGCTCTCAAAGCTAAAGGGGAACTTGATCTCAAGTGGGGACAGAATCATCAAGGGCTTCTGGGAGGAAGTGGTATTTACACTGCAGCCTAAAGGGTGATTAGGTGTTAATTAGATGAAGGAAGATAGAGCATACTGAGCCAAGAAGAATGGGCAAAGGCCTTGGAGCTGGAAGAAACTTGGCAAAGAGGTTGAGGTGGCTAAAATGCAAGGATCACACAGCTCAGCAGAAACCAGACCATGCCAGGCCTTAGCAACTATAGTAAAACATTGGTCTTTGTCCAAAGAACACAGGGAACCAATGAAATACAGTTTACAGCACAGAGGTGAAATGGCTCGATTTGTCTTTCTGGATGGTTCTCCTGACTTGGGTGTAGAGAACAGACTGGTGCAGACCAAAGAGGATGCTACTGTAAGCATCTCATCTCAACTAGACAAGGAGCCCCCAAGGCCTCAGTGCTCCCACACTCACACCTCCAAATGACCCCTAAGGTGACCAGGCCTCTGATCACCTGACCAGCCTCAGCTCCCAGCATAC